AACGACAATCCAATTTTTGCCTTTTACCTTTTTTTTTTTTATTTTTTACTTTTCGGGGGTGTAATCATCGACCGTTTTGGCTTTACATTATATGTGTATAATAAATAAATATAGTAAATAAATAAACTTTTATTTGTCACTTTACTTCAATGTGTATTTTTTTATTTATAACTTAATAAATACTTGGAATAAATGAAACAATTTTACTTGCTGTATTTACTTTTTCAATATTACGATTTTTCTTAATTCTAATTTTACATAATATTGTATTGAAAGATGTTTAAAGTATACACGCGGAGCCGTTACTAATATAAAAGCCGTGGTCTGTGTATGTGTGTGAATTCCTTACAACTCCTGCAACTTTTGTCCGATCCAGATGAAATTTTGGTTATATTGGTTTTATGTTCTGACGGAAAGTACAGGCTATTTATTTTTCGAAAATATTTGCTATAAAATAAACGTTTTATCGATTTCGGATCGATGATCGCATTTACGTTGCAGTGACGCTTAAGGACATTTTCCTTCGGTTACATTTTAAATATTTTGGCAAATGGGGTATTTTAAACTTACTTCATTAAATTCTACATGTAAAAAAATAAGAAGAACCGAGACCCCCGAAGGCCGTGAAGTCCGACTTGAAGTTTTTCTCAATCCTTCGATGTCTACTTTCTCATAAAAATATTCCGTCATGCTTGACGGGAGAATTTCTAGTATTTACATATTAATCAGTAGGAGGTGTGGAGGCCGAGTTTGCCTATACCTATGGAAGATAGGGATAGTTTATATAATATGTCGGTCGAGAAGAACGCTGGATCTCCTCCTTCCACTCTATTCATCTCTCATTTCTCTTCTTTGCTGCTGTACTTCTCTTAATTCCGAAAAATATATTGTTTTCGGGTGAAGTGACTTTGCAAACTGTTCGGCAATACATTTGGGGGTGTATCGCCCCCTAATTCCTAGTGGTAATGTACAGTACACGCGGACGAATGACGTAGCCAACCCTTAAGTACGGATTGACCATCCGTTCTGATTCATTCATTAAGGCAGTTTTTAGTTACACCTAGTTAGTTAATACAGAAAATAATGGAAGTGTACTTTCTTTAATTTTTAAAGTAGAATATAGAAATTTAGTAATAAAAATAAAAATTACCATTTAATTTGCATTTTGTAGTAATAATAATAATAATTTTATTTATAATAACGTCGATTACTGGGAATACAAAAGTATCTATTACCATACCACAATCGTAATTATTATAAAATTAATAATTTCTCTTTATATAATTCTGGGTTTATTTGAAGATGCAAATCGTGAATCTTCTATAGTTTGCCCACGCATTTTTAAATAAAATAAAATAAAAATATGAATAAAAAGTTATAAAATAGAACATTTTTAACTATAAAATTATTAGATAAAGTAAAAATTCATTATAATATTCTAAATAAAGTAATAAATAATCAATTGGTCCGGAAGTCTTATCACCCCTAGATAAAATAATATAATGTAGCTCAGTAGAATAAATATGAGGTAATGCACTATTTGTTTGCTATTATATTTATTACATTGCTGCTTAAGCATCCAGAAGATCAGTATGAGCCCTATCATTCGACACTAATTTGAATGATAGGGCACGAGTCCTCGCATACACTTGCAATAAACCATTCTTTTACACTACAGGAGCATTTGAAATGGATGATGAAATATTCCTTAATATATTTGATAATTTAACTAAACTTCATTTAGTTATATTCAGTAGAGAATGTAATGATAGAGTGTAGGAATAGTGTAAGAAGGCATCCTGATGTCTGGAATAGTTATGTATAATATTAATAAATTCTAATAATTCCAATCTACCTAATGATGAAGGCAGAAGTCGGATATTATATTGTTCGAGCGATTTGTTTGTAGCTAGAAATTGGCCGTATTTTATCTTAGTTCTTAAAGAATATTTACAGAATTAACGAAAAAAATATTTATTTTTTAAATTTGAACCAAGTGGAACCATACAGTTTTATTCGTATCTTTATTCCGTGAAGTCCCACGTAAGATCGATCATCGGCTTTAAACACAGGGTAGAATCGATTACGTTCTATTCTATATTTGAACTTAGTTTAAGCGCAGGACGAGACGTGATCGTATAAATCGCAATTTTTGATGCTCAGTTCTGATTAATGATGGAGTAAATTATAAAATTATTATGCAAATTTTACTTTGCGATTAACTTTTATGAAGGAAATCCGATGGAGTTCATCAAGTTCACAACTACTGAACAGATGAATTAACTATTGAAGTAACACACGAAGCAAGTTACTGAAGTCATTATAATTCTTATCCTTTGCACGAACGACTCCTATTGTTTATAGAATAAATAGAAATGAGCTAATTTTTGAGGAAAAGCAGGAAAATTACCTACAATAGTTTTATTCTAAATTACGTTAAACGAAATCGCTAATTATTTTTATCCGCTACGTCAGCAACAAAAGTACTGAAGAGTTTTCTTGTAATTGAAAGGAAGGCAATGGAAGATAATTACGCTAATTTTTCTTTATATGTAAAAGATTAGAAAAGAACAAAAACCTTTTTTAAACCATTTATATTTAAAAGAAAATTAAATAAATTCGCAAAGATTGATGGAACACAACCGCAGTGTTCTAATAGATCACCCGGCAAATAACATTTTATTATAATTAAGAAATTGCTAATTTATTTAATATTAAATTTAAAATTTTACTGAAAAATTTTTATAAAATTTAATTTAAAAAGTGATAAAAATTCTAAAAATTAATTAAGGATAACCAAAATTTTAGGAATTGGCAGAAAAACTCTGCGTGTTTTTGCCACGTTTTTCATTAATTTCGTATAATTTATTCCACTTTTTAAATGTAATTTTCTAATTAAGAACGAAAGAAATCGTCTATAATTTATTCCTTAAAAAAGCTTTTTCGTTTTTTCAATATTTACTAAAATGAACATCATCATCGTCAACATAACTTAAATCGATAGAGAGAAACTTCTAGAAAAGGCATTAGATCCACTGGAAAAGTCTGGCATCAATCGATAAGATGAGGAAATATATCATTATATTAATCACTAAATTTGCTTTTATCGGACGAAAAGTAAATTCTGTCCATGCATTTTCCCTTTAATCTTCCATTAACTAATATGAATAACTGATTAATTGCCAATTAGATTATACCTTGACTATTGATATTACAAATTCCGCCTTTACTATATTTATTCTGAAAAATTTACAATTACAACGTATTGATAATTTCCAAACCTACAGTTAAAGTCTGTTGTAAGACTATTGATGATCAAAGTAAAGCAACGAGGATCAATGAAGGAGCAATGAGGATATGCGATGAAAGGAGTTTACTAAAGGGTTAATTCGCATTAATTACCTAATAAATTTCTTAGATGAGGAGGAAGAATAGAGTGAGAGGAAGAAGGCCCGAGGCAACTAGGACCCTCGTCCTCTCACTCTACTCGCAATTATAAAGAATTATTTGAGGAGATCGACAGACTAACTAGTTTATCATTACTTTATACCGAAAATTCAGAAGCGAGGAAACCGGATTCGTCTAATACAATAAACATATTTACTGCGATTAAGTCCAGAAGAAAATTAAGCAGCCGTGTTTAAAATGAATAAATTATCATTTTGCAATTAGGCCCAAATGTAGATCCCGTTTTAGGTATGCCGCGTAGGCCCCACTCGCGTGTAGTTACGCCACTGCGAATTTCTTCAATTTAATATAATTAATGGAACTTAAAGATTTATAACATAATGATTTTACTTCCCTACTTAAAATTTTTTATTTATTAAATTAAATTTTAAAAATATTTCGTCCATATTTTAATAACTAATCCTCAAACTTAATTACTGTCTGTAGACGTAAATAGGATTAAATTTAAAAAAATACATATTTATATATATTAAATTTTACCTTTCATTATACATAACATCGGCGTATTAAATTAATATTTTAGTAAGGAGAATTCGCTATTCAGAATAATTCTATTGTTTTTCGGAAGGGAAGTTATGAAAATTGCGCTTTTAACAAGGATACTTTCTTCGTAATTAATTATAATAATTAATTTTAATAATAACAATTAGTGCTTTCTAAAAGTAAGATTCCCTAATTATCAGTTAATTACTGCTTTTAATTAATATTTCTTTATTCTTATGAGCAGCTATTTATCATCGGCGTATTGACTATTAATTATAATTAAGCATTTCGTTTAGAATTAAAGATGAGGTGAATTTTACGTTGTAATTAAAATATATTTTACGAATTTTAGTCATGTTTTAGTATAAAAATATTTTAAAATTTATAAGAAGTTTTTTAAAATATGAACATGTTATTACGTATGTATTAAACACAGTCCAACCTCCAATAACGGGCACCTGTAAATGGAGTCCATTTTTATAGTCACTTACTTTCCTGACTCTGTTATATATAACAGAGGGAAAGTATGGCGATTGGTCGAAACGTGACCCCCAAGACTTTTACATTCTTGGACTCGAAGCACGTTGAAACGCCGAGAAAAGCAAAAGAATTCGGATTTTTTTCTTGTATATATGGATGTTAGTGTGTGGAGACGCGATTTTGTTCACCCTGTTTGAAGCTTAATAACTCCTGCGCTTTTCGTCAAAAATTTCTGAAATTTTGCACGGAGGTTTGTATATTAGTGATATTAAATTTTGGTGGTTAAAGGTCCAGGGGATGGAGAGACAAAGGGAGTCATATCGGGAGTAAAGTCGGACTTAATGACGATTTTACCCGCATTTACAATTTTTTTATAAAACCCATCTTTATCCTCAAAATTAAGCTTTATGCCATTTTATAATACTGTACTTTAAAGAAGAGACGATTCTAATTTTATTATTAAATTTAAAAAGTAGCAAATAAAACTTTTTAGTTTTTAAAAATTTGTAAAAGTAAAAACATATATCTGTATACATTGAATGACGTTATATTGTTGGTGACGTTTTCAGGTGTATCCGTGCGAAACTCCCTCAGAAGAAGACTTGAGCGTATTACAGAGTAACCTTATCAGGAAACTGGGAAAGGATGCTTATCCTTTGACCTTGAGGATATCGTCCCACGCACCTCCTTCTGTTAGATTACAACCCGCTCGACCTTATAATGGAAGTCCTTTGGGAGTCACTTACGATCTGAAAGTGTTTGTTGGTACGTTGAATAATTGAAAAATCTCTCGCATAAACACGGCTTTTAAGATAAAGATTTTGCTCTATAAATGTTTATATTATATCTTGTTTAAACGATGTATTAAATTTCATTCTCTTCCAGACGTCCGGTTAATTATAATTTTTAATTAAAAACGTATTTTCTAATTTTAGAAATAATTTAAATTATTGTTACAATTCTATATAAATTTTTGATTTATGTATTCTATAAACTATACTCGCAACCTAATAATGAATTTTGTAGAGTTACAATTAATGTTTTTCATCTAAGTTTATGTATTATTTAAATTTATGTCAGGCTCCCCTCCATCATAACCCATTGTGGGCCTGGCTAAAACCACCAGCGTGTGGACAAAAGGGCCCTCTAAGTGCCCACGGGGCGGAAAGATCCAAAATTGAGGGAAAACTCCAGATATAAAAGATTTAAAAAATAATTATAAGTGATTTTTATTAAATTTATTGCAAATGTCTACGAATTCATTTTATATTTACAGGTGAAAGACCCGAAGAAAAACCACACAAAAGAAGCAGTGTGCGTATAACTCTTCGTTGCATGCAATACGTTGCACCCGAAACTCTACTTTCGACCGCTTCCCCCTGTGCTTCAGTCAGCAAAACTTTTATCTTCAGTCCAGGAAGATTAGAAATCGAAGTATTGTTGGACAGAGAGATTTATCATCACGACGACGTCATGCATATTCACGTCACTGTTAATAATAACAGCAACAAGACGGTTCACAAAGTTAAAGTATACGCATTGCAACACGTTAACGTTTGCATGTTTACCAATGGGAGGTTCAAGAATCTGATCGGAAGCACGGAAACCGAAGATAAGCATCCGATACCACCAGGGGCCAGTATATCACGTGATTTCAACATAAAGCCCATGAGTTGTTTAAAATATCCGGTAGCTTTAGCGCTGGAAGGTAGCTTTCACGAAGAAAGTAAGTTTCTGGCATCTTCAACACTATTGGTGGATCCGAAAGACAAGAACCCGTACGGTGTCATCGTGTCTTACGAAGTCAAAGTCAAAGCAATCTTAGGATGCATGGACAAACCGATAACTATACATCTTCCTTTTAAGCTTTTACATCCCGTTCCCGCGGAAGGATCCATGGAGCAATGCGATGGAACTTGCAAAATGACAAGATCCTTCACGACCGACCTCTTAGAATCCGAAGATTCCGTTTGTGGTGACGTGGCACAATTGGTGATGATAAGTGCATAGCCGGATGATTGTGCGCTATACTTCACTTAATGAAAAATAATTGCCTTTATTAGATTAAAAAGTTAATTAGATTAACCAAAAAATTATATTTGAAAAATCTTGTACATGGAAAAAAGAGGAAAATTTCATTTCTAATACGAAACGTAAATTGGGTATTATTGTTGATATATAAAACATAAAAATGAATACAATTGATATACAAAAAAATATATACAGTTGAACCTCCGACAGCGGCCACCTGTAAATGGCGACCGTTTTTACAGGAACGTTTCTTTTTCAAATGCATACAAAATAACCTCCGAANAACACGTGGCCGTTGTTCGGAGGTTATTTTGTATGCATTTGAAACGTAAACAAAACCTGTAAACAACGTAAACCAACGTAAAAAACGTAAACGTAAACCTGTAAACAACGGCTACGTGAATGGCCGTTGTTTACAGGTTTGACTGTATTTATTTTTTTTTAAATTAATATAATTTCCGTGTTTAATGAATAAAATATAGTAAATATATTTCATAAACTTAATTTACAATTTAAAATAGTACAATTGTAAACATTTTAGCAAGGAAAAATAACAATAATAATTAATAAAATTGCTATAAAACAATTTTTTTAATTGTCGTGAGAATTGCAAGGATAAAAAATTTGCTATTTATAACCACATAAAGCTTTTTATATAGATATATTCTAATTAAAACACAATTTAAAAGCAAGCTAGTTATAAACTTTATACAAATTCCCACAAATATTTTGATAAAAATATTTGAATATTTTAATAAAACTCATTCTACTTAAAAGAAATTTCAATTCTTAAAAAAAAATTGGCAATTTCGAATAAGTTATACAAATAAGGGGTGGCCCAAAAATCAGTTAACGAGCCGCATTCTTAACACTGTATCTCGGTCAACTGACTTTTGGACCGCACTGTACATACATTTAACGAGAAATACTAAACATTTATCTTAATCAACACTTAAAAATTCAAGAAAATAACGTTAGTTGATTTTTCTGAATTTATTTTTTAGATTTAGATCAATATGGCACACGCATCCTTTTGATTTTAACATTCCTACACACTATTTTTGCTTTAATGTGTCATATGCGAAGACTTAACGAACATGTTTACTTTGTACAAAATAAAGATCATCCGCATTATTGACGTGCTTTATGTTTAAATTGTTAATTCTTAAGTGCACATAATTCATGTGAAGATCTTAGAAGCAAGTTATCAATTTTTGAATGTCTGTTTGTCTGTTAGATGAATAGCCATAAGTAAAATGTAGATAAATAATTTATTCCACAAAATTTTCGTAGAACAAGTAAGCATTTGTATTGTACTGTAATTAGTCGAAATAATTTATAAATTATAGTTAGTTACGTATATGTTATGTGCTTATCATTTTAGTATATTTATAAATTACAATAACAATTTAAGTCAAATTTATTGACTGTATTCACGTGCGTATTACCCGCGGGTCATCTGTGTTTAAAAGGTAAACCGAAAAGTTATTACGGGACAATTTAAAATTGCAATTACGAAACATGCCTATATGTGGCATGTGCGGGAGCGGATTAGGCATTAAACTGAGTAAGTTAGGGGTTAGAAGCATGGACACGAGAACAAATAAAAAATAACAAGAAAATAAATAGTTTAAGGGTAACGAGCAATTTTTTAATACGACATCTTCACGATGCTCTCAATTTTAGTAATATCTTGTCCCTGAACATCATACTTTTCCTGTTAACAATAGAGTCATGCGGGTCATCTAACCAATTCCATTCTGGAGAGATATTTTGAATTGAAATAATGTGACTTCCGGTCCAAACCGAAAGCTCGTATGTAATTAATCGAGACCTCCAACTTTTAAGCTTTCTTTTGTCTAACCCTGTTATCGAGATTAAAGGACAAGCAGACATACGACAGAGGTAATTCATAGGTTTACAGTTTTTAAAAACTGCAGCCCAACAAAGGGTAACCCGAAGAAAAGGCCAGAAGGAGCCTAAGGTCAGCCTTAGGGTCGGGTGGTAGTTAATTCTTTGGCGAATTAAGCCACGTTTTATTTCCTTTCTAGCAATTATCTGCGGGTTGTGCGCACAAAAATACGGTAACTTAAAAATTAAAGAAAAGATAGGAAAAAGAATTTTTATACAGGGTGGCCTAAAAATCAGTTAACCAGGCAAAAGTGCTCGAGCAAACAATAAGTTAAAGTGTTGTAATTGCGTATTGAATAAGTTTTATGGAAGGTGCTCGAATAAGATGACAATTTAGTCTTTACAATGGTTAACTGACTTTTGGACTAACTTGTATATAAAAAATAACTTACGTCTAAATCTAGAAAGACATTTTTAAATTTAATTTTCGAAAAAAAAATTAATACATCGAAATATAAAATTTTATTTTTATAGACTTTGTAAAGAAAATTAAACAGCAAAAAACGATTAAAGTGTTGTATTTATATATAAAGTACTTATTGTAAACAATATTTCAAATACTTGAAAATCATTTTGAAAGTTTTTATTAGAGAAAATCAATTATTATTTATTTATTTATTGTAAAAAACTACTTATGTTTTTGTTTAAATATTACCGATGTTGCTCGATATTTAAATATGTAGTGTGGCCCAAAAGTCTATTAACTTCATTATGTACTGTACGTAAACGTTAAACCGAGTTTAGAAAAGAAATCCGTTTTTCTTTCGCAAGATTATTGAAAACATCAGAGAAATACGTAACTGAAATAAGACGGTGACGGTTATCCGACTTTTGGGCCACCTTGCATTTTAATTATCTTTAACATCAATATATTATCATACACGTTTCCTTCTAAGTCAGATATTGAATTCCTCGTCGATGTATAATAATTTATATATTTTTCTTTAAATATTCGGGTTCAGAATAAAAATATTTTATATTATTGTCGAGTACGAAATGTTTGTTTGATGATTGTTAATGTTTTCGTCTGTGATACGTGTAATAAAATTTTAAAAAAGACCAAAAATTCATTCATTGCCTGTTGAATTTATTTTCTGAATATAACGGTTGATCCAAAAGTCAGTTAACCACATTTAATTTATGGGTGCGCTCGGGTACATTTGTAAGTATGAATCGTACCCTCGAAATAGAATATCCGCAGGGTTTATTTTAAGAAATTGGTGGAAAAATCACTAAAATATATTTAGTGCGGTCGAACCTTCGATAACGGCCAGTTTTTCGGGAACATTTCTGTTCGAAATGCATACAAAATAACCTTCGAACAACGGCCATTTTAAAACTCCCGTCAGTGATCGTCGTTCAGAGGTTCGACTGTGTTTAACTATTCGAATAAGACAGCCAATGAATTTTTATAACGGTTAACTGACTTTCGACCCACCCGTATTTTAATTAACTTTAATTTCCGTGTAAAAATTGTAGAGAAGTTATTATTAATCTGTCATATTAAACAATTTTTTATAGAAAAGAATTTGAAGTTTTCGAAGCAGAAAATTGATGAAAATGTCAGTTCTCGTCAATCCGTATCGATTATGGCTTTTGGCATATTTTGCTCTTTTGTGGACGTCTGAAAGGAATAAATAATCGAGTAAACCACAATGTAAATCTTACAAAATCTTATATTCGATAGCGTGTCTGACCGAAAATTTATATAATATTATACAAAAAAATATACTGATACTGACTCTTTATATACAGTAAAGTTAATCTTTATAAATACGACATTAAATAATGAAAAATGTTCTATATTTTCTGGTGATAAAGTAGACTTTTTATACATAATCCATACATATTTTTGCATTTTAAAATATTAGGAGGGATATACGAAACGGTTTTCATATTTACATTATTGATTTTCTCTCGAAAACAAGACATTGCTTTATAAAGTCTTACCTTAATTGCACTCGTCTGTTTTTATTCGTTAATAATACATTGAAATAATGTTAAATACATGTAAAGTGTTATAAATTAATAATTAAAATATATGTTGAATTAATTTTATTACGTAAAAAGTCTTATAAATCAACTTAACAGTCAGAATATCTTTATAGATTTTACTAAATTTCAAGGTTTTCGAGATATAAATAAATGTTTTTCACAATTGTGTAGAATTTATTTGATCCGTCTTGTAAGAGTGAACTCGATTGACGGCATAAAGCAACTGACGCAAGAGTGATCTGCCAAGAGGAGGTGCTTCCCGAAAAAACTTTCTTCGTGAAACTTACTCCTATTTCGGTGTTAGATACGTGAAGAAAACCCGGAAAACTTCAGTTAGCCAGACCATTATTCGGCGCAAAGCCAGAAGTACTAGTCTTCAGTGGTTTACTTGGCCATTGGTGGGCACTCTTCTCGTAGGATGGTCTCCAAACTTTACGAATGAGAAACGTCTAACAAATATTTTTCAGTCCTCTTCAAGTTATTCAATATAAATTCGGTACAAAATGATTTTATCTTAATCTTTCTGGACATTTTTAAAACTCTTTTTGCCTTGTGGGCACTACGGGAACCCTTTTATCATGCCCGACGTAAGTTCGGCCAGGCCTACAATGGTACCGAGTGACGAGGACGATAGAATATACAAGTGGAAACAAAACTCGTAGATTTTACATTAAGTTTTTTCTTTATGATTATTAAAGTAGGCATATTATAAATTGTAATAGTACGAGTATAAGCTCTTATTTTTGATTAAATAATTCTTCAAATTAAATATACTAACTCTCAAGAAACCTGTTCTTGTGGACTACTGCCGAAGCCCTGCAGTTAAGCATGCGTTTTCATAGTTATTCTAAATATAATCTTAGAAATGCAGCTGTACAATTTATTTTCTCTTAAGTTACTCTAGCTTTTGTAGCGAATGTGTTTTCAAAGTTAAAATTTTCTTCACGTTTCTAGCATCTACATAGGGGGAAGTTTCTTTAGAAAGTCCACCCGGGAGGCATTCTCTTGGCAAATTGCTCATATATTCCTCCATCAATCAAACCTATTTTTAAAATTTAATTAATTAATTAATTGAATTGAATTCAAGATAAATCATTTTTTCACGTTTATATCATCAAAATTTTGAAACTTTATTCTTAAATAATGAATAACAAAATTATGTAAAAATATAACTTTGCAACATAGTTTGGATCAGACAATTACAATATCTGATGGACTTTCTAACGTAATTGATACTTACAAAATACATTAACAACAAGGACAATGTTTATTTTTTATTACGCACTCTCATTGAGAGCGTAAAGCTGAAGACACTGTATAAAGTTTAAATTATGAGGACAATTAT